ATCAAAAACTTTGAACAATGAGCAGCATATGAATACATAAAATGAACAGGCTATGGTTGGCTGATAAACCTGCCAGAGTTTGAGGAATCTCCTTTGCTCTGGTGAGCATGCTCTAGGTAAGTGGGGAGCCATCAGCCCAATGAAAGGAAGAGATAGTCACTACTGTTTAGCAGGATATTTTAGTCAGTTTTTCATTGCTGGGACCAAAAGTCCTGACAAGAACAACTTAGAGGAGGAAAGTTTATTTTGGCTCATGGATTCAGAGGTTTAGTCCATGGTTGGCTGAATCCATTGTTCTGGGTCCCAGGTGAAGTAGAGCATCATGAGAGGAGGAAAGCAGCTCAGGGCAAGGCATGCAGGGAGCAGAGAGAGATGGAGGGCTCTTAACTAAGGTGCTCTTACAGACACTGCTGCCCCCCGTCAGGCTGAAGAACTTGAGTTAAGTGGCTTCAGGAAATGGACTCCAACCTCGCATTAACTAGGTCGAAAACATTTTTGTTCTGACTTTTTAAATCAGTGGATAACACTGTGTGATTCTATCCTGTTGTACCCTAACACTGAAGTCCGCTAGGGCCTTCTGTGTCCATGGACTCCACATCTTTGGATTTGCAGATGGAAAATATTTAGAATAACAATACAATAGTAAAAATAGTACACATAAAAATAGAATATAACAACTATTTGCATAGCATTTACATTGTATTAGCTACTTTAAGTCATCTCAAAGTGATTTCGAGCATAGGGAGAATGTGTGTAGGTTGTGTGCAAATATATGCCATTTTGTATGGGGGAATTGACATCCTCAGATTTTAGTATCCTCAGGAGATCCTGGAATCAATTCCCCACATATTTTAAGGGAAGACTATAGATATTTATTACGGAATGGTTAAATCTAACTAATTAACCAATGCATTACCCTCACATAGTTTTACTTTTTTAATAGCAACCATTTTCTTTTTTACATTTTCAATAATACAATATTTTCTTATTAACTATAGTCATCTTGCTGTACAATTGGTCTCTGGAAATTTATTCTTCTTTCTCACTGTAATTATATATCCTTCACCCAACATCTCTCCATCCCTTCTCTCCTGAACACCCACTTCCCTCTTGTGATATGTACCATTGTACTCTCTACTCCCATGAGATCAGCTGTTTAAAAATTAAGTCTATAGATTCCATGACATCCCTATCAAAATACCAAGGAAATTCACAGAAGTAAAAAAGAGCAATCCTAAAATTTATATGGAATCACAAAAGATCCTGAATAACCAAAGCAATCTTGAGCAAAAGGAACAAAGCAGCCCACTACCTTTCTTCAAATTATGCTGCAAAGTTGCACTAAGAAAGCAAGAGTTTGAGCATAAAACAGACACATAGACCCATGGAACAGAGTAGAAATCCCAGAAATAAATCCATGCATTCACAGCCAGCGGATTGTCCATAAAGGTGCCAAAAACATCCGCTGGGGAAAGGATAGTGTATTCAAAATTTGTCATTGGAAAATCTGGGTATCTACACGCAGAAGAATACACCTAGATGCTGTCTCTCTCCATATATAAAAGTCAACTAAAATGGATTAAAGACATAATCGTAAGACCCCAAACTATGAAACTTTTAGAAGAAAATAGGGAGAATGTTTCATGACGTTGGTCTGGGCAAGGATTTTTGGGGGTCAGAACTCAAAAGCTTAGTTAACAAAAATCAGATCTGGCAAATGGGATTATATCAAACTATTAACTATTTTTTTTTTAACTGAACTAAACTTCTCAGAGAGAAACCATAAGTCAAGGGTTATAATGACAATAAGAACTTAGGCAAACAGGAAAGAAATAGTAAAGCTGGTAAGATTGACTTCCCGTTTGGACACTTTGTAGGTGTCAATTTCAAAGTAAAAATGATCATCTAATCAGAAAAGATAAGAAATCAACTCCTCCAAATTAAAAATCGTTTTAAAAAGTGTCTCAAAGATGGAAAGATAAATTTTCTAACCATTGACATTCACAGTAGTCAAAAAGAGACTCATGTTGGCCAGTGAACTCCACCAGTAAGAAAATGACACTCCTGCTGGCTGTCAATGCCATCAAAAGGACCAGGTTCCCCAGAAGTGACCGAGTGGACCATGCTTCCATCTTGCTGGTCCTCTGACCCATGTTTCTCCCTTCTCCATCATCTCACCTCTTCATTCTGAGCACATTGCTCTGGGTCTCCCTCATCATCCTCCTTGCTTGGGAACTGTGCCTTTGGCTGCCATGTCCTCGTGGACACGTGAAGCCCAACACTGCTACCCAGGTCTGATGGCCGCCTTTTGGGGGGACTCATCTTTTGATGTTCATGCCAGATCCTCTTGGATGTGGCTTCTGGCTAAAGACCGGCAAAGCTCTCAGAGAAGATACCAGGCTCCCAAGATGACATCCGGGGTTCATTTGGGGTGTGGAGTGAGCTTCTGGGATACATAAAGGCCACTTTTACAAAAGGAATCCTCAGACCAAGCAGTGGATGATATTGTTTTCTCCATTTATTGGGGGCCATGCCAGGTCCCAGGACCGAGTCCTGATTTAATTCCTGTGAATAGTGATAGTGATAGTGAGCTCATGTGCCGGCTCTCTATCTGTAGGCTGTGCCACCCTCTGTCACTTAGACTGGTAGGGCCTGGTCCTCACCCTGCTAGGGCACTTGCACCTAGGCCCTTGCACTGCTCCAAGCTGCCTGGCCTTACGTGACAGCACACCCTTTATAGCCTTCATGTGTATTGGAGTTGAGTCGAGGTGAGATGTAAGTGAACTGCCCTGAACAAGCCTCCTTTTCTCTTCTCCATTTCAAATGTTAGCTGTGGCTTCTCTCCTTTAAAAAAAGAAAAAAGACTCTACTTTCTGACCTTTTCCCCTCTTACTCTATGGTTCTCCAAAGTTCCAGACAATTCCGTTGGCTGGTGCTGATGCGGAACCGTAGGGGCCAGTAAGTGTGGCTGGAAGCCCGCAGATAGGTTGGGGGGGAACCATGTCATGCTGGATTTTGCTTCTTCAAGTCTGACCCTCCACTTCCTTTTGAGCTTGAGCATGAGGCTTCCATTTGTATTCATCGGTGACTTGTGCCATCGTGATCCTTGCTTAATACGGGCTTGCTATGTGACTATCCAGGACTATGCTTAATAATAATAATACCCACAATAAAATCCAATAATATCACGAATCAACATATAAACGGTATCTAGGACACCCACACCTTTGTACATGAATTCTTTGCCTGTCGCTAAAATAGGACTGCTCTATCTATCTGATGGGTTACACTGAGATCCAAAGCAATGGTGTGCTCGCCCGCATTCTTCCCTCCAAATACTGTTCCCTGGGTCCACCTATAGTCTGGGGGATTAGCAGACTGAGGGTCCAGGGCTGTCTTGTGGGTGAACCGCCAGTATCTAGCTGGCTCTGGGCAGATGAGCGTGGAGGTGGTAGGGGTCTCTGCCCCCTTCCTGTCTACATGAGGCCTCTTTCTGGCATGTCCTGGTTTCTCTTGCAAGGTGGGTGCAGTTCCATGTCTCCCTAGTCACTGCCACCCCTTGGGAATAACTACCAAGCGCCTTGCTGGCGGTTCCATGGGCTTCTGGAGGGAGGAAGCCTCCTTGGCAATACGTGGTGGCTGTTGGCAAGAGAGAGACGGAGCGTTGATAGGCATCTGTCATTTTTCTCCAGGAGAATTCCTTTATCCCATTTGTAGCAAGACTGTGTGTTGTGCTTGTCAAAAGACAAAATTATAACACACTTAGTCATAGATCTCCTTTATTTGTGATTCATGAATTGGGGGATTCTCCTTCTAAAAATAGAGAGCTCCCACAGGGCCAAGCAGAACAGTGGGTTTTGTAAAGTGGGAACAAGGAGACAGAACACTTAAAAAAAAATAGCCTGATTGGTCAAGATCAGGTTACTTATTTTAAACTTTTTTGGGGTGGTGGGGAGGTAAGGGCTAAAGCAGAGGGCATTTCTTATTATACTGGCTCCTGTTTTCTGGAGAAATTGGTCTATTTCGGGATCTGTCCGCTTCCTTCAAGTTTCCGTATGGTAATGGGGCAGTTGTCAGGAGGGACTCCGTGTTGGTCTGGTCTGGTCTGTTGGGACACAGGCAGGAGCTCAGGGCAAACAATGGTCTTGGTCATTTTGTTTAGCACGTTGCTCCTGGTGACAGGCCCGCAGTGTCTGGAGGTCTCACATCAGGACACACTGTCCTGGTGCGGAGGCGGTCCTGCTGGTACCTGCCCTCGAACCCTTGAAAGCCCTCTCAGGCCGCTCCCCCCGCCTCTGGGCACTGTTCTGGTCCACCAGCTCCCTAACTTTTATCCCTTCTTCCTCTCAAGCTGCCTTCCTGAGAATCTGCCTGAAAATCCAGTCCCAGTTTTGTGTGGGACGTGGCTTGCACGTTACGGGGACGGGCACACTGGCTAATACCTCTTTACCACCATTCGAAGAGGTTGTGCTTCTTACTATTTCCAGCGACTGCCTTTTGTGGTCTACATTGTACTCCCACTGAAAAGTCACCAGACCACTGTCTCCAAGTCTGTTGAGCAGAGGAAGGTTCATTTAACAGCTCTCAGTTTAAATCCACTGCTTCAAGCCCACGGGGACTTAATGGGACTCCGTTGGTGCAAGATCAGGCTCTAGGCTGTGCTGAGGTCTCCTTCCAAATGCTGTTTCCCTAACAAGGTTAGGATTGATGGTTTGAAGACTCTAAAGATATTGAAGCACCACCAATTTGGACTTAAAAGTCCTTTCTTTAAAAATAGAACCTATAATTTTGCAGACAGCGGGTTCTTAAAAAAAAAAACGAATGCCTTCCACCATAGCTGTGGGATTTCCAGAGATGATGGTGTAGTCAGTTCTGCTGAGACGGATTCTGAAGCAAGAAGACACCTCCTTTTCTCTCTGACCCCAAGAAGGAGCTCTTGGTTGAGGAGCTGGGGAGCTCCCGCATCTGTCTCTAATTGCCTGTGTCCCCTTCTCTCTCAGCTTGTCACATTCTGGAATGCTGTGACGGATTGGCCCAAGACGTCATTGGCTCCATTGGCCAAGCCTTTGAGCTGCGGTTTAAGCAGTACCTGCAGTGTCCTTCCAAGATTCCTGCTCTCCAGGACCGGTGAGTAGTGCTGCCCGCCACTTGCTGAAGCCCCTCTCTCTGTTTTATGACATTTTCTTTGAAAACGATGTCCCCAAGCCATACTCTGGTCACACCCAGTTCATCCCAGGGCTTCCTGGGCTCAGAGACACCTGCTCATGCTGGGCTCGGGCACGGGAAGTCACAGATGGAAGGCAACATATGGGTGATGCTTTGAATGTGTAGAAAATATTTTCTTGAAACTATAGTGATAGTAACCAAGGTTACCAAAAAGCAACTTCATTGTGATATTTTGTTCTGTTTCTTGTGCGACCATGTGATTTTTCCATATGTCACCTCCTTAGGTCTGTGCTATCACAGATCCTAAACGTCCCATTGTCCTTGCTATTACAATTAGCCAGCATCCTGCTGCAAGGAGCACCTACTGGCTGCCAGCTCCCCATCTGCTTTATTGTCCTTTGTGGCCTTTGGAGTCCTTTGTCTGCTGTGTGACCTTGGGCAAGTTCCTTAAATTCTCTGAGTCTAGGAGCTTCACCTGTAAAATAGAGAGTTTGGCTTCAGTGTTGGGTGAAACAGTGATTGTCAACAGCACTTATGAGACATTGAGCTCACTACGAATGGTGGTCAGCATCTACTCCTGTGCTTCTTTGGACAGAAGAATCTTCCATGCAGCATAAGGCATTAAAAGCCATAATGCAAGGCATATGGGTCAGTCAGTATTCTGCCCTTCACCCCGCCCTTGATCGACATGCACAACGAAAATTTATAATGGTGCGTTCACAGTTTCTCCTAAGTGCAAAACTACACTCTGGGCTGTAGCCGTAGGTCAGTGTCTGTCTTCAGTCCACTATTATGAAGGCCCACGTAATCTCCCTTTTCCTCTTGACCTCTCTGGAAAGAGACTTTTAATCTCTTTCCTTATTCCCTGGAAAATTCCCTTTAAGACCTTCATTGGGGAGCCAATGTGAAAAGCCCACCTTCTCCCAAGTTGATATAGAAGGTTCAGCCTGCTGCAGCCGGGACGGGTCTCTAAGAGGAGGTAAGGGGAGGAAGTCCAGTGGCCTGGGTACCCTGGTCTGAGAACAAGTCAACAGACGTTTTATTTTTTACATGGTGGACATAGTGCTTAAAGAATCCATCAGTATATGTGTATGACCAGGATAAATCTTGAAGAAATTGGAAATGAGTATGAGTATTTACTTTTCACCGCATGTTTTGAAAATACATAAGCAACTGTACATATAGTTTATGGATATGTACATGTGTGTAAGGAGGTATGTGCACATCTGCGGCAGGGTATCTGAGGATGGGTGGGGGGTGATGGGTTGGTTTGAAATGTACTTGTCAAGCGTATTTTTTAAAACATATTTTTGCTCTAACATTTTATAATAAAATGTTTCAATATTACACAAAGACTTTTAGAGTGAATACCCATACATCCAGCATTTAGTTTCTACCACTAACACATTATTAACAGATCTACCATCCAGAGTGGGATCAACTTCCTCCCTCCCTCCCAGGGACTCTTCCTTTCCTCTCCCTCCTTTCCTTTCTATTTTCTTTTTTTTTTATTTATGTATTTATTTTATTTCTTGAGTTCCTAGGGGAAATTTTAGTGTTTTTTTTTTTTTCCCCAAAAGAAAGGTAGCATAAAACATAGCTGAATGGTTTAACATTTGATTAATCTCAGTGGTGGATGCCTAGGTATCTTTAAGACTGATCATTATGGCTTTCTGTATTTTTAAAAATGTTCTGTATTTGTAAAAGTCAGATAAAACGATTTGCACAAACCTGGGTAGAGAAGAGTTAATTTAACTGTTCTGGCTCTCTGGCATCAGATTGAAGGTTTGAAGTCCTGAGTATGTGATTAAGTGTCCTATTTAGTCTGAAGGTCTTTGGGAGGAAAGAAAAGGAAGTAGACAGAATCTTACCCTTTGAGAAAAACTTCAGATGTAAATATTGATTAAATTTCCATAACAGAACATCACAGGGGCCTTTGCTATAGCTTGGTGCTGCGGGTGCTTGTCCTGCTGGGCATCTCACCTTGAAGGGCGGTGCTCAGTGCGTTCACTGTGCAGGGCTCCAGGAGGGCGGAACAAGGAGAGCCCCTGGGACCAGCTCCACCTGCTGCTGGATCAGCCTGGTTCTGTGAGACAAGCGTGCTTCCTCCACCTGCCCTGTCCTCCCGACCCGCTCCAGCCTATGGAGACCTACATTGTGGAGAACACTGCAGGCGTTCTTCCTGTGGTGCCGGGGTCCCAGAGGTTAGCATTGCAGGCGCTTCTGTTTGGGGGAGTTCTCTTTGGTTTCTCCTCCTCCTCCTCCTCCTCCCCCCTCATCCCCCTCCCCTCCCCCTCCTCCCCCCCCTCCTCCCCCCCTTATCCCCCTCCCCTCCCCCTCCTCCCCCTCCTCCTCCCCCCCTTCTTCTCACTTCTTTCCAAATAGGGAAGTATTTGCTAGAAGCGGGAGGATTTGGTACATTGTTTCCCACATTGCGAGGGGTGGAGATGGGCAGGTGAGGGTCTCCCAAGCTGCGCAGGAGTCCTCAGCGTTCCCAGTTCTTGGAGCCAGGATTCCCCTCCCCTTCTCTCCCTGCTGGTGAGGGGAATCGCTTATTCCTGTGTCATTTTTGCTCATTGTGTTCATTTATTGTGACCTGGATTCGTCACCCTTCTTTAACTGAAAATAAAAACAAGGACATTTAAATGGACGGTGGCTTGGGTTGTGGTCTGATTTTCCTGAGCGCATCTCAACCCCACGCCAGAGAAGACGACAGATCAAGTGCAGCTAACGCTCTGCAGATCATGGTAGTTCTTTAGAAATCGATATCTCCTGGTTTCAGAGATTTCAGTTCCTCCTCACTTGGCCCCATCACATGGGGGCTCAAAGCTCTCGCCCAGAGGCAAAGAGAGAGCCAGGGAGCAAGAGAAAGGAGGGACAGGGGACAAGGTACAGCCTTCAGGTGCCTTTGGAGGACCCAGCTCCTTCAAGTCGGCCCCACCCCCTAAGTTCTCACCACGTGTCAGGGGACCATTAAACCATGAATCCATCCATGGATCGATCCATTAATGAGATTTGAGCTACCCTAGTGCAAGTTAAGTGGTCTCCAGGGGGATTTCCATTTTCATTTTACTGATGACTAATGATGTCAAACATCTGTTCATGTATGTATTGGACATATGTAGGTCTTCTTTGGAGAAAGTTTTGCTCAAATCTTTAGTCCATTTTTAAGGTCAGGATATTTATCTTTTTATTGTTGAATTGTGGGAGTTCTTTATATATTCTGGATATAGGCTTTTTTTTAAAGATATATGATTAGCAAATATTTTCTCCAGTTTTGTGGGTTGTGTTTCTTTCAAGATGTCTTGTAATATTCAGCATATAAATAGTGTACTTGTTTTAGTAATTTTCCCTTAAATAATTTATTCCTTTTGATGCTATAATAAATGGAATTCATTAATTTTATCTTTGTTTATTTCCCATTTTTAATGTATAACATACACTTGATTTTTGTACATTTATCTTGTATCTATCAACCTTGCTCAACTCATTTATTACTGCTAATAACTTTTTTATGGATACCTTGGGATTTTCTATTGAGAAGATAAAGTCATCTGCAAAGAGAGGTTCCTTCCTTCCTTCCTTCCTTCCTTCCTAATGTAAGTGCCTCTTATTTCTTTTTCTTATCTTTCTTCTCTGGCTAGAATCTTCAATACAATGAATAGAGCAGGCAAGAGGGGACATTCTTGTAATGCTCCTGCTCTAAGGGAAAGTAGTTAGTCTTTCATCATTAGTTGTGATGTGAGCTGTGGTCTTTTCATAGATGTGTTTAATGGAAATGACTTTCGATTCCAAGTGTTTTATTATTATTTTAGTATTTTATTATGCAAATGTGTTGGATATTTTCTTTTTTTCTGTGATATTAAGATAACTATCTGGTATTTATTTTTTACTCTATTGATATGGTATATTACAGCCGCTGACTTTTTTTTTTAATGTTGATCCAAACTTGCATTCTTGAGATAAATCCCATTTTGTCATGGTGTATAATTCTTTTTACATGTTGTTGAATTTGGCTTGTTAGGAATAATTTAGTATTTTTCATCCATATTCATAAGGGATATTGATATAGATTTTTTTCCTTGTGATGTCTTTGTCTAGTTTTGGAATCAGGGTACTATTGACCTCATAGATTGAGTTTGGAGATGTTGCCTCCTTGCCTATTTTTAACAAGAGTTTTTGAAGAACTGCTGTTAATTTTACTTTAAATGTTTATTGGAATTCATTAGGAAGCAATATGTTCCCAGGCTTTTCTTGGAGGGTAAACTTTTTGATACAAATTCAATCTTGTTATTTATTACTTATTCAGAGTTTCTATTTCTTCTTGAGTCAGTTTTAATAGTTTGCAATTTTCTATCTGCAAAATTGTTGGCATCAATTATTCATCATTTCTCATATAATCCTTTTTATTTCTGTATGGTTGATAGTATTATCTTCTCTTTCATTTCTGATTTTTACAATTTGATTTTATAATTTTTATAATGTATAATTTTTCCTTGGTCAGTCTATCTAGATCTTTGACAGTCTTGCTGATCTTTCCAACTCTTGGTTTCATTAAATTTCTTTGTTGTTTTTCTGTTGTTCATTTCCTTTATTTCTATTTTAATGGTATTTTCTTCCTCTTGATTGCTTTGGGGTTAGTTTGCTCTTTCTTTTCTGGTTCTTGAGGTAGAAGGTCAGTTATTAATTTGAGGTCTTTATCTTTAGGTTTTTTATTGTATAGGTATCTCCCTATGAGCAGTTATTTTATTTTCTTCTATAACTTTTGGAGAGTTGTTTTTATTTTCATTCATTTCAAAGAAATTTCTAATTTTTCTTGTGATCTCTTTTTTGATCTATGTTTATTTAGAAATAAGTTAATTTCTACATTTTGTGAATCCTGCAATATTCCTATTATTTTCATTTTTTATTTCAACATTGTTTGAAAACATGCTTTTTAGGATTTTAGTCCTTAAAAATTTTTTTTTTCTATGAGTGCTTCTTTTTTTATTATTTGTTCAAAACATTACATAGCTCTTGACATATCATATTTCATACATTTGATTCAAGTGGGTTATGAACTCCCATTTTTCCCCCGTATACAGATTGCAGAATCACATCGGTTCCACATCCACGTTTTTACATATTGCCATACTATTGTCTGTTGTATTCTGCTGCCTTTCCTATCCTCTACTATCCCCCTCCCCTCCCCTCCCCTCCCATCTTGGGAAAGGGAGAGAGAAGGGAAATTTCATGGAAATGGAAAGAGACTTTTAAAATTTTTGAGGGTCACTTAATAGCTTAACATATATATGGTTTCTCCTGGAGAACATTTCATATGTACTTGAGGAAAAACTTCTATTTCTCTATTGTTAGGCAGAGTATTTTTGTAAATGTCTCTTTGCTCCAATTGGTTTATTATATTGGTCAAAGTTCTATTTCTTAATGTTCTTTCCACTTGTTCCATCTATTATTGAAAGTGGCATATTAGTGTCTTCAAGTATTATTGTTGAATTGTCTATTTCTCCCTTTGTTTTTTCCTAAAGTGTCTATGTCTGTCATAGAAAATATATAGTCAAATCATATTTTAATCAATTCTGCCAATTTCTGACTGTTTGTTGGAATGTTTAATGCATTTATATTGAATGCAATTACTGAAGATTTAGGATTTTCCTCTGCCATTGACCTTTCTTTTTTCAAATGTCTTCATTTTCTTCATTATTATGTCTTCAAATGTTTTTTCCTCTGCCCTCCTCAGTCTCGCTCTCCTTTGGGGATTTCATTATGTGTACAGAGATATGCTTAATGGAGTCCTATAGGTATCTGAGGATCTGTTCATTTTCCTTAATCATTATTTTCTTTCTGTGCTGTAGACTAATTAATCTCAGTTGACCTATATTTAAGTCCTGTCCTTTGTTCTTCTGCCTGCTCAAACCTGCTGTAATACCCTTGAATGATTTTTTAGAAAATTTCAGTTATTAGAATTTTCAACTGTAGAATGTGTTTTATTTTTATTCTTTTTGTATTTATATCAATATTCCTTATCTCATGAGGCATCTCCTGTTTAATTTTTATACTTGGCTCTTTGATTCTTTCACCACATTTAAGGTAGTTAATTTATAGTCTGTTTACTTAGTCCAAAGTCTGAGTTTCCTTGGGACCATTTCCCTGTATTTATTTTTTCCCATATACAAGCTATTGTGTCATGTTTCTTCATATGCCAGATAATTTTTATTAAAAATGGAAATTTAAATGATATAATGTGGAAAATGAAAATCATATTTCTCCCCTTTTCAGGGTGGTTGTTGTTGTTTGTTTCAGTGACTTTTCTCTACCCAGTTTGTGAAGTCTGTGTTCTTTGTCATATACATCCACCCATGGTTGTGCTTGGCTAGCTATGTTGCTTTGCTAATGCTTGAAGACATGTTTCCTTAAATGTCTGGAACCACAAAGTCTCCCAGTCTCTACTGATGGGGCTTTGTGTGTGTGTGTGTGTGTGTGTGTGTGTGTGTGTTGGGGCATTCCTTCAACCTTCAGCCAGGCAGTTGACAACTTTACCTTAACCTTCACTTTTCTGCTCAAACAGAGAGTCAGGGTCAGCCAGAGGTGAGAGCTTAGGGCTTCTTACCTTGGTCTTGTACAGACACACAACCCTAGGCCTACACATGCATGTAGCTTTCTAAATTCCCAGAAATATGTTGGAGCTTATTAAAATCCCTACAAAAACTCTCTTGCCAGCTTTTTCTTTCAAGGTTTTTGATTAATCTACTGTTCAACCCAAATGTCACCCACTGCCTCAGTAAGCCACCATGTTAAACAATTACCTCTAATTGTTTTTGACAAGTGCCCTGGGGATGAGATCCTTTGTCTCTTTGGGTGAGCTCCAAATTAGGTCAAATAAAGACAGCTTTAGCAAATGCAAAGAAATGATCACGTTTTAGAAGATGAAAATGCTAATTACTCTGATTTGATCATTACATATTATATAAATGTATTGAATTGCCACACTGTGCCCCATAAGTATACATGATTATTATGAATTAATTAAAAAATAAATTTAGAAAGGGACAGCTTTGGGAGTTGGGTCTTTCAAGGATCAATCAGGTCAAATAATGTCAGTTTCTGGGAATGGGGCTTTGAAGGAGTCTCACTACGGTTTTGCCCTTCCACGACTGCCCGGGTGTTGGTTTTCACTGTGATTAAGGACACTTGGTTTCCCAGGCTACCACAGAGATGGAAATAGGGCAATTTAAAAATGCCACAAAGATACTGTTTTTACAAGTTTTAACAAATAAATACTCCCTGGGATGCTGCAAGTTTCTTGAGCTGCTGATTAATTTCCAGAGTTTGGGAAAAGTAATTTCTGATCAAAGTTTATCTCTGGACAGTTTTATTGTTGCTTCTATGGAAGAGATAATTTTTAAAGGTCTTTAATCTGCCATTTTCTCTGAGGTCTCTTAATCTTCATTTTTTTTAGCTGATTTCAATTCTATATAAATTTCATGACATATTGAAATGTATGCTTGTACCTTGAAAATCTGGTTATCTTTACTTATAAATTATTTCTGTCTCACAAAAAGGACTGTGTCAAATATGATTGGAATTTTCCAGTGGGTATAAGTCTGAATAAAGTAGACATTTTGATCAAATTATCATCTGATTTTTTTTATGTATACCCAAGATATAGATGGCTGAGAAGGCAGTGACTAAATTCTCTTTTCTTGGCAATAGATTCTTTATAAGTTCATTTTACATTACTATAACAAAATGCCTGAAGCTCGGTATCTCGGTAAAGAAAAGAGGTTTATTCATCACAGTTTTGGGGTAGAAGGGCATGGTACTATCATATTCTCAGTGGATGTATCACATCATGGTGGGAGCACATGAGAGGAAGGAGGAGATCACTTCTTGAAACAGGAAAACAGAGAGAAGGACCTAGATCCTACAATCCCTTCTGAGGGCACACCCTCAATTGTCTATGACCCTCTCACTAGGCTATGCTCTTAAAGGTCCTACCACCTCCTGCTGACCGAGGACCAAGCCTCTAACACATCAACCTTTTTGAGGGAGGGTCACACTTAAAGCATATCCAAACCAAGCAGGTGCTTGCGTTAGATCTGTTGGGTTTGCCTGTAAGCTCCACTTTGGTGAAAGTCTTGAAAAATCTTTTAACAGGATGCAGAGTCTAGATGAACCCTGGACAGAAGAGGAGGGGGAGGGCCCAGACCACCCATATTACAACAGTATTCCCAGCAAGATGCCCCCTCCAGGAGGTTTCCTTGATGCTCGACTGAAAAACAGACCCCATGCCCCCGACTCGGCCCAGGTAAGTCTTACGTTTTCTCCTGGGTTGGAGGCTCACTGAACTTGCTTGCCTTTTGTTCTCATCAATTTTTTTTTTTCAGGTGATATTCCAATTATCCTTTGACACAGTCACTCACACTTTCTTTTGCTGGGTTCCACCGAGTGTACAGATGGGAGAGACTTTTTGTTTAACATCACGCTGTGTTAGCCAAGTGCCTTAGAGTCATATTGTGGTTCCTGAGATTTGAATCTGGGGAGTCCTCTCTATTGTAGGACAGATCCCTTCATGCTGTGCTTGATCTTCATGAGGGGAAGATAGAATTTGGAACCTTTAAAAGGTGTGTGATATTGGGTGTTCTCTGAAAAGAGAGGGGACAGAGAACCTTGGAGTATGAGAATCTTATGCATTTTTCTCTTTCCCTCATTCCCCCTCCAACTGAAAATTTTCCTTTAAATCTAAATTGCTTTCTAGAATTATATCTCTATCTTTTTGTAGGAATTTTTTTTCTTTTCTTTTTCTTTTTTTCCCTCCAGAATTGATATAGAACCCAGAGCCTCATGCATACCAAGCCCCTGTTCTGCCCGTGAGCCCCAGCCATGGACATTTTTTTTAACCATGACCTACTTATGTGAATGATAATGACCTTAAAATGGCAAAATAACACCCATATCAAAGGTCTACCACCGAGAGGGAAGCTTCTGTTTTTCAGGAAGTGTGTTTCCCTTAACATAAATGACTATGGGTGCTGGGCATTGGATGGGAAGTGCACTATGGCACACGGACACTCTCTTTGATTAAAATCCCTCTTAGAATATGAGCAGTGACGCAGCCACACGGGCCAGAGCTGACTTTACAGTCACGTTTGGGGAGGGACTGTGAGGTCATGGATATAAGGAGGCTGTGTGTGTGATTTGACGGGGTGCAGCCTTTTGCTCACACCCACGTGGATTTATTTATCAAATTTTAACCAGACTCGGGGGCATCAAGGGAAAGTGGGACGTAACAGAGAAAGCCATGACCCCCTCAAGGTCCCACCCGCTGCACTATGGCTTTCCGAGATGGGGGAGGGGTAGAGGGTAAAGCTTTCTTTCTCTATATTTACATGGGTCTGTAGTTTGCAGGAAAAGAACAAACTTATTACCAGGGAAGACACTTGGGAGACACATTTGGCGAAGACTGGCAGCAGACACCTCCCAGGCAAGGTGAGAGGCAAGGTGAGCCCGGGAGAAACGGAACACGCTTGGGATGGGTGATGTGCTCACTGATGTGACCAGGGCTGTGGTCCCTGTGGAGCAGCACAGACCAGAGGCAGCTCCCGCCTGCTTTTAGAAGACATGTCCAGGTCTTAGCCAATCTATTAACACACTTATGTCACATACTAAAAATAACTTAAAGGTGGCTATCTAACTGTATCTAATGTAGATACAACTATCTATAATCCAGACATCGTCTAAGAATAATTTGGATAGATATCCAGATAGAATTATGATAATTTACATACAACTTGCTAAGAACTTGCTAGCTGCTCACAGTTATTAATACAAATACACCCATTCCCACATCTGTCTTCCATCCATCTATTTATCCCTCCATCAATCTGTCCATTTATCCTTGAAGTCTTTCTTTTAATTTTAAACCTTTTCCCTTTTCAAAAATTTTCTTGACTCTTCAAATGGTTCTGTGGTCCTGCTACAAAATCTATGTGGTCTAAATGAGGTGGCTCCAACTCACACCACTATGGAGGTAAATTTAACCACTTATTGATTTAATGTTAAGATTTACCCCTTGGTTATAACCATTTGTGCCAAGAACCAAGTGACAATTTTTCAGATTTTCCTCATACAAAAGAATGTCATGTCTTCTCTACCCCAGTGAAAGGGAGAGCTGTGGGGTTGGCCCCGTCAACAAAGGATAAGGCCAAGCTAAAGCCACCATGTGGCTCTGCCTTAAAGTAGGTTGGAAATAATCAAAGATATGATTTTGTCAAGGTGCTTTTTCACCATGAGCCATTCACCTCTGTTCTATTTATGTTTAAAATGTATTATGTAACATATGCATGGAGAGATATAATTGTCAGAGGCTAAAATAGATGTGTTCTTTCTTGTAGATATTTACTTTATTATAAAATAAATCAGGTTTTTGTAAAATAAGTCTTTTTATATATATTTAAGCCATTCCAGCTGGTTCAAGATCAGAGAACGTAGCTGATCCACCAGGGCAAAATGAATCTTAAACTAAGTTCCCCATCTGGAACTTAAGTCTCAAGCTCTTATTGAAAAATAATAAGTATGTTTTCTCATAAAACAGATATGTTCCCATAAAACAGATTGTTCATTTTCTAGTAGCTCTTCCTCCTAAGTGAGTGTGGACTCAGGGACCACCGTGGTGGGTGTCCATCTGTCCCCGTTCAGCATCTGCTGTCATCTGCAGTGGGAAAGGACTGTCAGCAAGGTCATTCATGGGGCTTTTGATCTCCTTTTTGAAATGAGCTTGTGGAGATTTGTTCACAATATACTCAAAGGTGTGCACTTAAATAGCACTTCTTAACCTGGGGCAGGTGATCCAGAAATCGCCTCTTAAACATAGAAATAGCGTGTGGGATTCAGAGAGTAGAATCGCAGCTCGTGGTTTTGCAGGTGAGGCCTCCCAGGGAAGCAATATCAGCAGGCCAACTCCCCCTCACACGTGCTGGCTGGGAGATGCCTTGTGCTGGCCAACACCTAGCCATAGGCTCTTGGCAAGGTTTTTAAAAAGTCCTGAACTGACTCTTGCCAGTTACACGGAGCCATCTTCAACATATTACTGGCCCCAGGGTATGCAAGATGCCCTCTTTCCAGAAAGGAGAGCACCACAGGGCATTCTCTTGGATAGGGTTGTTTAGCTGCGTTGGAGGCAGGGCGAGCACAGGAATAGCAATCCAAACAGGCAATCGTGGGCAATGCCTCTTATGCCACCTCTGGGTGATGGAAGAGCTGGACCCTGGGCTCCCTCAGCCTCAGCACCCCTTTGACCAGCTGAGAGGTCCAATTGAGGAGCATCACTGCCTTGTAAGAGGGGCCTCCCCCATCATGCACCCACCTGGGCTCCCTTATAGATCCAGGTCAGCAGTGGTGGCTCTGTGTTGTAAGGAAACTGTGTCAGTCCTTTAGGAGGCACTTCATAATTTATAAAGCATTCGCGGACACTTAAATATAAGAGTGGTTAAACCAAGCTTGACGGTTCTCCTGCTCAGTTATTTCATCCCAGAGTGTTGTAAAGGAGAGAAGGAAGCAGGGTATCTTCTGGCTGCGGGGCTTGCAGGACCCTGGGGACAGTGTGGCCCAGATCTTTGGTGAGACCCCTAACCAATATGGTACCCACCCAAGGTTAGCTGGAAGATCCCATTTTGACAGAGAAGCATCCTAGCCAGGATACAGCTAGGATGACAGACTTAGAAGAGGAGAATTTAGCTGATGGGGATCTTCAGGAAGAATTTTCTCGTTGGTAGGCTTAAGGAACCCTTCTGTGGAATGGCGGGTGGTTTCACTATAGAGGCATGAATAGGGTCGCCCTGCTAAGAGAAATAGGGACGTGTTTTCTTGTTGCAGGGTCCCTGGACATCTACACTATGCCAGAAGGGAAATCACATGCAGCCCCCATGGGAGAAGTACCCACCTATGTCAACACCCAGCACATCCCACCGCAGGCCTGGCCCGCCGTGGCCAACAGCGCAGAGAGCAGCCCACGGAAAGACCTCTTTGACATGAGTAGGTCTCCATTTGTCTCTTCCTTTCTTCTCTTTTGAGGTTACCTTTCACACTGACTTTTGTTTGCTCTCTGTGCAATGACTGGATTTCTTGCTAGCAGGGTTTTAAACAAGTAACTGTGTATCACCAGATGGTAAGAAGTGCTCACAAGTTATGAACAGCAAAATAAGACGGGGGTGGGGGGGTGGGCGGTGATCAGAGGTGGCAATGTGGTGGCATGTGAACCGTGGGATTTCTGTTTGTCATATAGATCTGGGAGGTGGACAATATTATTACTAACACCGTCCCTATGTTATAGAGGAGGAGATGGAGAATCCTAGAGGTTAAGAACCTCCCCATGTGTAAAAGGCTCTGCTGGTCTAGTACTTGCTAATCCAGGTATCTGATGTGGGTGAGGCTGGGGTCACATGCCTCTATTCCTCAGCCAATCTGGCTGCCTAGACTCATTGGACTCCCATTTTGACTCTCATTTTGTCAAAAATCGCCTCAGCTAGAAGAACTCTTGAATCTCAATGCTGAGAGGCACCTTAGGTTCCTTCATCCAAAGTGTTCACTTTTTAAAAAGTGAGAAAGCAGCCCAAATAATGTAGAACCAGATTCCTAAACTCCAGAGCAGAGTGGTGACCCTCCCACTTCTGCTTCGGTTGTTGCGGTATCCCCCAATGGTAGTTTTGTCATTGTATTTTTGGGCAGCCCATTTTTTTACTGTTTAACGTAGTCCATTTCCCAGTGACTCCTGGCCCCAGAGCCTGGGGAGAGCTGGGTTAGTTGGGCTTTGAGGAAAATGGGAACTGGAGCTATTGTTTTTCCACCAATTAATTTCTAATTTCCCATCAATTAATTTCTATATCAGCTCCAGAAACCAGAGAAGGGGAAACAGATGGTAGAAAGGGTCTTAGAGAGGCTCATGTCTATTAAAAAGTAATTAAAAATACAAGCCAGTACTGTGTTGTTTATCTTGAAGCACTAGGGCTAAATAATACTCGTGGTGGTGATGATGTAATGATGGTGATGTGAGTGATGATGGTGATAGTCATGATGATGATGATGGAAATGGTCGTGATGGTGGTGGTGGTGATGAAGATTATGAAAACAGCAGTAATGGTAATGATGGAGATAGTGATGGTGGATTGATGGTGATGGTGGTGGTAATGGTGATGATGGTGATAGTGATGGTGGATTGATGGTGATGGTGGTGGTAATGGTGATGACGGTGATAGTGATGGTGGATTGATGGTGATGGTGGTGGTAATGGTGATGATGGTGATAATGAAGATGATAATAATGGTGATGGTGATGGTGATGATGGTGGTAGTGATTAAGATGATGATGGAAATGGTAGTGATGGTGATGATGGTGTTGGTGATGATGATGGTGGTGATGAAGAAGATGATGGTGGTGGTGGTGAAGATTATGGAAACAGTAGTGATGGTAATGATGGCGATAGTGATGGTGGCAATGATGGTGATTATGAAGAAATAATGATGGTGATGGTGATGGTGAGGATGGCAATGGTGGTGATGGAGGTGGTGATGGTGTTGGTGATGATGATGGTGATGGTGATGGTGATGGTGATGATGATGGTGATGGTGATGGTGATGGTGAGGATGGCAATGGTGGTGATGGAGGTGGTGATGATGGTGGTAATGGCAGTGGTGAAGATAATTGTGAAGATGGTGATGATGGCGATGGAGATCATGTTGGTCCTGCTGGTGACTGTGCTGACCAATGTGAATGTGGGGACAAATGGGATGCTGCTGCTGATGGTGAAGATAGCAAAGGTGGAGATGATGCAGAAATAGTATAACACAAATTTCCAATTACTCCAGGTGATCAGATAAGATGACCAAAGAGGAAAACCCACAGACCTAATCTTAGCCTATCATTTTAACCTCTTTTCCCCCCAAACCTGTGACACTTCGCAGCTATCGAAAAGATCTAATTTTGGTTTCATGTATTCATCTCTTTTCTTTCTATCCCCCTCTAATATTTGCCAGATTTAGCTTATTTGACGGCACCCACAGAATACTTAAAGATGGACTGTGTCCTAGGAACAACATGGGGCTCTGGAGATGTAGCTGTGCCCGGGAGAGAACCATTCCTCTTCTTGTGGTGCTTGCCCCTTGCTGGGTGGGCAGTGGGATCCTAAATCATCCTCATCACACCTGTTTCACAGCCTGTGCTCATTTTCCAGAGTGCGTTGGTACCTACCACCTTACTGGAAAACTGAATGTTGAAACCGAATTAGACTTTTCTGTCTACTTTCTTTGCCACTGGTTTTTGTTGCTGCTGGAGCAGCAGTTTCCCCATCCACAGCCACCTTGTAGACAGAAGTGTGTTTCAAGGGGGATAAAGCCAAGTGTGGTGTCAGGAATTCAAGCAAGCCCTTTGTGGTGGGGAAATAAATGAAGGTCAAGGGGAGTTAGAGTTTCTATCCTAGAAGTCACACAAGGGGTACCCAAAGATTTTGAAGTGAACTGTTGGTAAGTTGGGCTTAGGTTCTACATGAAATCAAAGCTGCACAACTTGCCTTCACCTTTGGTATTAGCAAGTTTTTATTTTGAATTTATTAAGAAACATGGCTGATATTCCAGGGAAATTAGAGGGAATGAGCTATGTATGGCCTCTTGTAGTGTGCAGTGACGAAGTCCTACTATCTAGCTAGACAAAGGGTGAACTTGAATCCCTGGCACAAAGTAGAACTTCCAGCTGTCAGGGAAAACAGACTCCCCAGAGGGAGTCATGCCAACATTTGGGCTGTGCTTGTAATTACTGGTTATGATAAGTCTTGATATGTTACCAGCCAGTTCTTCTTTTCTAGTTTTCCTACCCTGGGCGGGGGGCGGGGGTTGTGTTTGCATTTTCATGTCTTACGTGGTATTTTGATCATTTGCTCTTGTGGTGATTGACTGACTCATTGCTGGCAAATGTCCTTGATGCAGAGCCTTTTGAAGATGCGCTCAGGAACCAGTCCTTGGGACCCGTGTTGAGCAAGGCAGCCTCCGTGGAGTGCATCAGCCCTGTCTCACCCAGAGCCCCCGATGCCAAGATGCTGGAGGAACTGAATGCCGAGCCTTGGTACCAAGGAGAGATGAGTAGGAAGGAGGCGGAGGGGCTGCTGGAGAAAGACGGAGACTTCCTGGTCAGAAAGAGCACCACCAACCCAGGCTCCTTCGTCCTCACGGGCATGCACCACGGCCAGGCCAAGCATCTGTTGCTAGTGGACCCTGAAGGCACGGTGAGGCACGGGACAGGGCCTTCTCATGAGCTTGTACCTGTCTTTAACCAACTCCACTCACTGGGACACCACAAGGGGCGACCCCTGCACTCCGTCCCCTATCCGTGTGTGCGTGCCAGGGACAGAGGCGGAGAGCAGGTGTCGATGGTCAGGGCCCCATGCAAGTCATAAAACTTAGGGAAACATTCATGGCCCGGGATGAAAGCTTTGACTTTCCTATACTTTCAGATAAATAAATACAGGAACTTTGGCTTACTATGCGGAGACTTTAAAAATGTTGGGTTCCTGTCTCATATCATATTCCAAAGTACCTTCAGTTGGAATTAAAGTCTAAAAGTGAAAGGTGAAACTAAATCTGTAAAAAGGACATTTTTCTTTTTAATACATTCATAACAGACAAAGGAAGCACAGGCTTCTGGTATTTTCATATTTATCTCAAAAATTCCTGAAAGTTGAGTCACTGAGATTTTATCTGTAGGCCAAAAAATTGCTGAACAGTAAGCAAGATCCCCACCAATTAGTCTCTAGTTTTTTCCTCTGCGAGAGGTGATGCCCAGTGGGGCTGAGTTTGACCATTTCTGGCTGTACAGTTGTGTCTGGATAATTGTGTGGGTTTGGCTGAATTGACCATCTTCCAATCAATAAATAGATCTGGACTTCACCCTGGGAATAGTCCAAATAATTGCACTAAATGCAACTGAATTAACTTAACTGCTGAGTAAATTCCAGAATTGTTGTTTAAAACTTCTTATGCAGTGAAAACAAAAAGCAAGGTAGAATTGTTTAAGTGATTGACAGGTAGGAACGAAGCTTTAGTCTTCATCTGGACTTGAACATATCCTCTGTGTGTGGGCGGGTGCAGGTGGGCTGGGGGTCACTGGAGGGGCCCAATGCTCTCAGCATTCTTTAAACATCTGTTTGCATAATTCCTCTTTCTCTTCTACCAAGACAACCACCTCCCAGGCATGGAATATAATAAATGTAACCATTTCCTTCCAGGTTTATTTTCTGTAGTAATTTTTTATATAGATGTCATCTGTAAAAAATATATATTTTGTGTTCATGTCTTTTAGAAATTTATAAACACGATGTTCCACAGATCTTCTTTCATTTCCTTCCTTCCTCTCAAGTTCTTGAGTTGCATCAATGGTGCTTTCTGTGTATCGGATCATCACTTTGGGGGACTGCCTGGAGACCTTCAGATGCACATTTTGAGTCCCTCTAAATTCTCTGGAGAAGGTTGTTTAAGCTGCTACAGACCCTCATGCATGTTTCTCTCTATCCCAGGGATAGGGTCTCTGGGGCATATGCCAGGGGTGGAAGTTTTGGTCACAGGAAATACATATTTAATTTCACCAGGGTTTGCATTTGCTTCCAGATTAGCTGGGCTACTGAGGTGCACCCCCTGGTGGGGGGGACCCTACATCCTCAGTCTTCCTAGATCGCGTCTGTCTAGTTTTGCTAATTGGCAGGAGTGAGGAGTAAAGTCCTAGTTCATGGACAGATGTGCAATTCTTTGATTGCATATCATTAGCCAAGAACAGGTCTGTCTCCTGTAAGTGTTATGCTCTTGTTCCCATACTTTTCTTTTGACTCTCTTTTTGAGTTTTTCAGCAGTAGAATTTCCATGTGCCTCCTCTTCTTCTCCTTCTCCTTCTTTCTTCTTCTTTGCTTATTTGATCATTTTGCCTGTGGGGTTCTTTATCAAATAGAAGTCTTTCTTTGGAATGGCGAATCCACCAATTTTTAACCCTTGGGATTAATGGTTTTGAGTTTTAAAATTTTACTCACCCACAAATCACAAAGGCACCGTGTTCTATATATTTTTTCTATTTATCTTCTTCTAGCCAATAGTTTTATTGTGCACAATTAGGTTTTAATTTCAATGGGAAATACTTTTGAATATGATATGAGATAGGAAACCCTAAATTTTTAAGTCTTCCTTATAGTAAGTCCATTTTTTTTTTGCTTGCCATTTACCAAATTATTCATCGTCTCTCTGCCATACCAAAGTTCCTTCTATAACATACTGATTCTTGACATCCTGGGTCTATTTCTAGACTCTTCATTCTATTGACCTGACTATTTATTCCTGTGTAAGAACTGTGCTCTTTTCATTGTTAGGACTTGGCAGCTGTCTTAATATCCGGTGGTGTGAGTCCTTCTCTTGACTTTCCTTTATCAGAATGGTCCAAGCATGTTCTCAAACATTCATTCTTCTTTATTTTGTTTGTAAAATCAGTCACCCAAAATACTTGCTGGGATCTTGATAGGACTTATGTTAAATGTATAGATTAATTTGGCAAAGAACAGCCAGTTTTCAATACTAGATCATCACCCCATGATGTGATGAACCATTTACTCAGACTTTAAGATATTCTTTGAGAGAGTTTTAAAAGTCTATTTAGACAGTTCTTCTGTTCCCTTTGTTTGTTTTGTTTGTTTGTTTGTTTGTTTGTTGGTACCAGGGATTGAGCCCGGGTCTGCTTTATCACTGAGCCACATCCCACCCCTCTTTTTTCTATATTTTATTTAGAGACAGGATCTCGCTGTGTTGCTTTGAGCCTCACTAAGTTATGGAGGCTGGCTTTGAACTTGTGATCCTCCTGCCTCATTCTCCCAAGTTGCTGGGATTACAAGTGTGTACCACTGCACTCGGCTTGTTAGGTTATTTCTGAAGTGTCTAGTTTTAGTCCCTGTTGTAAGTAGTATGTTATTTTTAGTTACATTTTCTTAACAATGACTGCTGTAGGAAGAGGAATGTGGAGGGATCTTGTGCCTAGAGATTTTGCTGATTCTGGCAGGCTCCCTGGCACTCAGTCTTTGCAGATACTGGGAGTCTTGTCTCTTGCTTTCCAGGGCCCATCCTGGCCCCTGATCTACCACTAGGTGCAGCAGTAAGCATTAATCAGGAGGGGGCGCCCTCACCTGACCTCAAATGCAAGGAAATGTTTTGCAGGTTTTTTTCCCTTAAGGATGTTTGCCGTAGCCCTTTAGTGGTCTGTTCTCAACCTAAAGGAATTCATTCATTCATTTAACAAATGTGCACGGAATAACTACCAACTCCAGACATCAACTTTTGGCACCTGGTCTGTATCTGTGAACCAATTTAAATAGAAAAATCTCTGCTTTGGTGGAACTTATACATATTATTTACCTAATAACTCTTATCATATGTAAGTATTGAACTTCATCCAATACTTCCTCAGCATCTTTTGAGATAATAGTGAGATGTCTTTCCTAAATCCATCCATATAAGAATGACACAGGGAGGGCTTTCTGATGTTGCATCCTATCCTAAACCTACCTTCCCTGTTGGATTTGGATACCTCATATTTTCTTTAGGATTTTTTGAAGACTCTGACGTGACGTCCCTCTCAACTGTCTTTACTGCTTTTGCGCCTGTGTGTGCTCATCTGGTTTGGGTGTCAAGATCACGGGCCACGCTTGCTTTCTAGAGCAGGCCAGACTTTCTCCAAATCAGAGATGGCTTATCAGGAGACTCTTCCCTGATGGATTTACTTCCCTGTGTGCTTCCTGATTCTTTGTTCTGATTTGTTTTGGCTTTAATGCACTTATGGCAAGCAAGCATTGGTACCCATTTATTAATTTGCTTATTATTTGCCTCTCTGCTTCCTCTAGCCTCTGATCTTGATAAGGGTAGTGGCTTTGTTTATTGTCCACCCCCAGCAACTGAAATGGTCCCTGGCACACAGTAGGTGTTCAATAAGCATTTGATAAATGCTTGATCAACTTGGGCTTTTCCTGGTTAGTAGTTGAGAATCCAGGGAGGTTACGGGGGTGTATGTATACAGGGGCATGAGGGTCACACCTTACTACAGATGAAGACTTACAAGCAAGATTTTTCTAACTAGAACTAGCCCAGGGTTCTTTCTAACCGCTTAGGTCATCTAATAATTCCATTGTGGTTAACTAAAGAAAATAGGAGAGAAAATACTCAAGCAATTCTATGAGAATCTACACACTTCACTTGAAAATCTAGGTTATTAAAAAACACAAATGTGAAAATATAGCTATATATGTCATTTTATAGAACAAAGATGATTACGTTTTTCCATTTAGTCTTTAAAGGGCCAAAGAATAACTTAGAGAGAGAGAGAGATGCACGACTAATAATGTATTTATCATAAATTCACAAACCAGTTTCAAGATGATGTAGAAAATGAGGAAATGGAATTGGAAGTAACATGGTTAAGGCAGGTGTCCACAGCAGCCATTACTCAAAGTTTTCATGTATTTTAATTTTGGAGGAGAAATGTGTGGCACCACTGAGAACATTTGTTAAGTCAAACCTACTAATGGCTTTTCTTTGGGGGGCTTTTATCTGGGTCTGATTATCGAGTTGGATTGATCCTCTGGAGGATAGCTTTAGATGAAAAGAAAATGGAAATGAAAGACTTAATTAAAAATGTAGCATCGCTTCCTTGCTGTGAGGACACCAAAATAGACGCTGAACACATTCTCTTCAATATTTATTCATCTGATTTTCATGGTAATTGGTCGGTCCCTGACTATAAAGGAGGGAACTTGGCAGAACAGATTACTCAGAGACGGAAGGCTGCAAAGCAGTTCTGCATCTAAATTTACTCCAGTGTCTACCAACCCCGGAGCCTCCCCCTGTGTGCTGAGGTCACTGGGAACCTGGGCCAGGAGGCCAGCCGTGGCAGCTTCTGAGTGTCCCTGGTGAGGTGTTGAAACTACTGACCCTAAAATAGCAGGTGGGACATGCGGTGACTGAAGTCCATCAAAACTGGATGAGATGCAGTTGGAAATGCCCCCCCCACACACACACCTTTTAAAAAATTTCAACACCTTCTGAATCATATAGTCAGCCTGGGTGTCTAAAACTCTCCTCTGAGTCACTCACCATTGATTCATCCCTTAGGACAGCACAGTAGGGCAGCCACCCTGCTCCCATTTGGACGTGCCATGGCCACACAGGTGACGGGGCTTTCCATAGGCCTGATCCACACGGTCTCAGGTTCTTGCACATGTAGGAGGGCACACTGGGGCTTTTATATCACAGAACAGCAGCCACAGTCCAACACTCCCACATTTACTAGATTTTTCTTTTATCCTGAGAGTAACTTAAAAAACAGGATTCTTTAGATTAGTCTCCAAAATCG